TTTTTTTTGAGACAGATTCTCACTCTGTCACTCTGGGTAGAGTGTCGTGCTGGCATACATAGCTCACAGCAACCTCCAACTCCTGGGTTCAGACAATCCTCTTGCCTCAGACTCCCAAGTAGCTGGGATTACAGGCACCTGCCACAATGCCTGGCTAGTTTTTCTATTTTTACTTATTTTTTATTTTTTGAGACAGATTCTCAAGCTGTTGCCCTTAGTAGAGTGCCATGGTGTCACAGCTCACAGCAACCTCAAACTCTTAGGCTTAAGCAATTCTCTTGCTTCAGCCTCCCAAGTAGCTGGGACTGCAGGCACCCACCTCAATGCCTGGCTATTTTTTTTAGTTATTGCAGTTATAGTTGTCTTAGCTGGCCTGGGCCAAGTTCAAATTCTCCAGCCTTGGTGCATATGGCCAGCACCCTAACCACTGAGCTGTGGGTGCTGCCTCAGTTTTTCTATTTTTAGTAGAGATGGATCTCACTCTTGCTCAGGCTTGTCTTGAAATCTCAAGCTTAGGTGATCCTCCTGCTTTGGCCTCCCAGAGTGCTAGGATTATAGGCGTGAACCACCATGGCCTCAAAATGTACAATTTTTAAAGCATCCTTCAGAGCTCTGCTTTCACTCCAGGGCCATGGTTGCTTTGGGCAGACATACCTGTCCAGCTCCCACTCAGCCACCCATGAGCGTGGCCTCCTGGATCAGGAACAAGTGTGGCAATGGTGTCGTGTGGTCACATGGTCTCCCAGTACAACTCAGGGCACCCCTCAGCCAGCATCTGTGTCCTGCAGACACCCCTATGCCCTGAGGGTCTCTTCTTTCTGGCACATGGGGCTGGTGAGGGTCTAGTGGCCTCTCTGTGACTATGTCTCAGCCCATCCATTACCTTTCCTGAGCCATCTCATCAAGGCCAGACCATGTGGCCACCCCAGAGAGCCTGCCCAGCCATCCCCCATACATAGTGGCCTGCACTGTGCTACTCTGCAGATTAACTTGTCTGAGCATACTTGGTCCTCTGCCCTAGTTGCTATTAGCTCTGTTTTGTAGGTGAGGACATGGGAGTTCACAGTCACCATGTAGAGCCTACAGGTTGCACTCAGGCCCAGGAGCCCCACCCAAGGCTGGCTGTGTAGGCGTGTCCTGTCTACTCAGTCCAGACCTCAGCTTCTGGAGGACAGGCCAAGTCTTCCCTGCCTTGTACCACCCAGCACGCAATAGGTGCTTCCCAGATGCCATGTTCTGAGCAAAGCATGGGGTGTCTTGGAGCAGTTGTCAACTGTCCCCTTCCTTTTTATCCCTAGTTCACAGCATGGAACCTGTGGTCCAGGAGAATGGGGACGAAGCCAGCGAGGGCAGAGAGGCCAAGGAGGCCGAGCCCGGCTCTCCAAGGAGGTGTGACATCATCACCATCTCTGGCCGGAGAGAGAAGTGTGAGGCTGCCAAGGAGGCCTTGGAGGTGCGTCGGGGCTCCCTGTCCTCTGCTGTGGGACCAGGCAGCAGGCCGTGGGGGGGCGGTGGAGTGGCAGTGGACCCTCGCATCTGTTGTGAGTGTAGACCATCTCCCGTTCCCAGCAACCAGAGCCTGTGGAGGCACCTTCCTTGGACAGTTGCGTGAAGTCCGAGCTCTTGGCTCCACAGGTGTGAGGGCTGCGGAAGGGTGCTGCTTACAGAGGTCGGAGTGTGGCCTCCAGCCTCAGTTTGCCCCCAGGCCTGGCTTGGGCTAATGAGATGAGCCCTGTGTACCCTGAGCCTTGTGCGCCTCAGTGGACAGCCGGCAAGAGCTCTGTGTTTCATGATGGTGCACATCATGGACGTGAAGGCAGGTCATGTGGGATGTTTGAGTTAAAGTCCTGGTGGCATGCTGCTGGCATCACGCGCTCCATCACTCCACCTGCCACTCAACACAGCCTGACTGCAACCGTCATCCCTGCAGGCATTGGTTCCTGTCACTATTGAGGTGGGAGTGCCCTTTGACCTTCACCGATACATCATTGGGCAGAAGGGGAGTGGGATCCGCAAGATGATGGATGAGTTTGAGGTAGGGCCCCGAGCTGCGTCACGGCTGGTGCTACCATGTCCTATCCTCTCCTGGGAGCTAGAGTTGTCTAGCCACCTCCCACCCTGTCTGCTGGGGTGCCAGCTACCTCCTGCAGGGCATCCCTGTCCCTCCCTCTGAGTCTCTACCACCCTGCAGGGTTGTCGGGTCTGCCCTGTCCCCACAGGTGAACATACACGTGCCCGCACCTGAGCTGCAGTCCGACATCATTGCCATCACGGGCCTTACTGCAAACTTGGACCGGGCCAAGGTGGGGCTGCTAGAGCGAGTAAAGGAACTGCAGGCTGAGCAGGAGGACCGGGTGAGTGCAGCAGGGCCAGTGGGGCAGAGGCAGGATGTGGCTCTCAGCCCCGGGGCACACTTCAGAATCAAGGGGAATCCTTAGAGATGTGAGCATCCAGTTAAAACAGGGCAGCTGGGGTGAGACCCAGGCAGCGCAAAGGTGTAGTCACCATCCAGAGGGCTTGCTGTGGAGTAGGCTTGGGGGCATGATACTGTTCTCTTCTTAACAGAATAGTGACAAAGTCGGGCTTTTGTGTTAATTTGGTATTTCTCTTAAAACCAAATTGGAATGGTGCCTCAGACCCTATAGGAAAGGTTGGGGGAATCCCTGGCCCCCTGTGTGTGCCCTATAGTCAGGGTGGACATGTGAGCCTGCTGGGTGCTGGGGAGGAGGGCAGAGGCCCCGCATGGCCTCGGCAGGGCTGGTAAGCTGCTCGGCAAGGGTAAGTGGTGCTGGGAGTGGCTGTTCAGCAAGGGGCCAATGGGGACAGAGCTTGTGACCTGATCACACAGTCTGCCTTGCCTGGACTTGGGCTTCTGTCCTCTAACCAGGTCACAGCTCTGGCTACTGACACCTGGAGCTCTGTCTCTTTGACAGTTTTGCTATCTACTTCCGTGCCCAAGCCCGAAAAGAACCAGGACTCTTTTATACTCATTTGTCAGACCATTGTTCACAGATTGAAAGCCCTGAGCTTGGGGCCTCCCTGCCCAGCTGTGCCAGTTCCTGGGCCCTGTTCTCCCATTAGTTGCCAGATGGACTCTCTCGAGCCCTCTTTTGAAATGTTTCTGTACCTTGTATGGAGTGGCTGGATCCTCTGGTTTTCATAATTAGCAGATGACCCAAGGTGTCAGGGGTCACCCTAGGTACACTGCTATGGTATCACAGCTCACAGCAACCTGAGACTCGGGCTAGAGAGATTCCCACTGTTCTAGAGCACAGGGGCCAACAGAGGACCAGGGCTTTGTTCTGGGATGACAGCAGGTACCCTGCTGGACCAGGATGGGTGGGCACCAGAACCCTGTCGGCTGCCTCATGGTCACTTTTTTCATTTGTAGGCTTTAAGAAGTTTTAAGCTGAGTGTCACTGTGGACCCTAAATATCATCCCAAAATTATTGGCAGAAAGGGGGCAGTGATTACCCAAATCCGCTTGGAACATGATGTGAACATCCAGTTTCCTGATAAAGACGATAGCAGTCAGGTAAGAATGACACCCAGGTGAGACACTGGGGCAGCTGGATCTCCTTTGCTTGCCTTGGGAACAGTGAGTGACCAAGCCAACCTGCGTGTTGCACCCTGTATATAGGACAGGAGGGCCGGTTTCAGAGTCAGTCCCTGAACAGCTGAGGCCATCTTGGGCTTTGGGCCATGTCTTGGCATTTGTTGGGTGGGAGAGATGTCCTCAACACCATGTGTACTGGGGGTTTGGGGGGCGGGGACTCTGGTTGGTTCTTTTTTGAGTAGTTGGGCCAGCAGGTATAGCCCCTTCACACAGACACACACATACATCTGAGGCCAAGTGGGCATGGAGCGTCCCCTGCCTCCTGCTGCGTGTAGCGAGGGGGAGGTAACCCCATTCTCAGTGCCACTCTGCTCTGCCTTACCCCTGCCCATCTGGGTCTGACATGCGTGGGTCCCTTCCTCAGGCCTGGCCTCCCTGCTGAGGACTCCGGGTTGCCACGGTCTTACATCAGCCAGCTTCAATGACCAGTCTCTTCTGGCTGCCTGGAAACGCTTCCCTGGACCCTCTACCCCAGCACAGCTCTTGCTCATGCATGGTGGGCTCCTGCCCGTCTGACCTCTGATGTCTCCCCAGCCTCTTCCTTTTGAATCTTTGAGTCACACACACTTTTTTAAAAGTTGGCAGGCCCGGGAAGGGATCTACCTGCAGCCTTGCTTCTCAGAGTCCTCACCCCCAGGACATTGCTTAACTAATCATCTCCATCTTGAGAGTTTAGCTTTCTGAAACCCCTCACCCTCACTACCCTTTGTTTCCATCTACTTTCTCACATAATGATGAGTTCTTAAAGTCATTTGTGTCTAGCCTATTTTAGTCGATATTCCACAATTCGGGTAGAGTAGTCCAAGTATATTCTTTGTTATGAGCAGCTGTCTCCAGGGAGAGTTATCCTTCTGTTGGTGGAGCTTGATGCGTGGTGTGTGTTGACTGGCTGCAGGGGTCTCAGCTCTGTTCTGCTGGTCTTGGGGAAGTGTCTGCCCGCAGCATCTTGCTTTAGTCTGCACAGCAGTTCCCAGGCTGTTGTTCTATGGGGTCTTCTCTGGGCTCCCAGGCAGGGTCTTTGGTGTATCTATCTCCTTTCTTGTTGTCTGTCCTTTCGCTATGGTGCTGTCCCCTCCTGCCTTGCAGATGCCGGTGCTGTCTTGATGTCTACTCCCACATGTCCTGAGCTGAGCGTGTCGGTTTGGGGCCACCGGGAACCAAGTGGGAGGGCTCTGAGAGAGGCAGGGGCTTGCTGTGGTCAGTGAGTGCCCACCGGGCAGCCTCCAGCACAGAGACACCCTAGGTCACCTGGGTGAAGCAGCGGGAGGCTGAGGCCTTTGCCTGCTGTGTCCTGGATGCTGTACTTTCCAAGGCAGGCCAGATACAGGGATGACAGGAATGTGTCTCCCGGTTCTTGTTAGCAGATGCCCTTTGTAGTCACGCACACGCACTGGACTCTTCTGTGGCTTCAGGGATGGCGGGAGCTGAGGGGTGCTGGTGCTCACCATGCTCCGCTTGTTTCCCAGTTGCATAGGCCTATTGAGGTCCCATTGAGGCACCCACTTTTCTGACTGCACACCCCTTTCTAGCCCCAGGACCAAATCACCATCACAGGATATGAGAAGAACACAGAAGCTGCCCGGGATGCTATACTGAGAATTGTGGGTGAACTTGAACAGATGGTTTCTGAGGACGTCCCACTGGACCACCGTGTCCATGCCCGCATCATTGGTGCCCGCGGCAAAGCCATTCGCAAAATCATGGATGAATTCAAGGTGAGCTCCAGCTTGGGTGGGGGGCATAATAGGTGAGCTCCCCACACTGTCTGCGGGCCACATAAGTCCTGCGTCGCCTCATCTGGGCCACTGAACATGCAGGGCTGGAAGGCGTGGGCAGGGGTGCTCTTCTCTCAGGCTCCTGGCTCAGTGGTAGTGAGACTGCAGCCCAGCTGGCCTGCACAGACAGTGACACTGGACAGGGGCTGCATGGGCCATTAGGCTCTCTAAAGGGCGAGATCGGCCCTTAATCTTGGCAGTTACCTGTGGGCCTGGGTGAATTTCACACGAGAGGGAGCAAGCAGCCTGTGCCTGGCCCCCCGTGTCTTCTGAGGACAAAGTGCCCTTGAAATTAGTCCAACCTGGTGATTAGGGTGACTGAATTGAAGGAAGGAACAGCTCTGAAGCCAGATTGCTACGTTTTTATAAGTCAGAGGGAAAACTCTTCATTACAAATACACGTACAGCAGTGACGCTTTGGTCAGAGTCTGCACTTTGAGCTTCTTAGCTGACAGGTGCTCCTTCCAGGTGGACATCCGCTTCCCACAGAGTGGGGCCCCAGACCCCAACTGCGTCAGTGTGACAGGACTCCCTGAGAACGTGGAGGAGGCCATAGACCACATCCTCAACCTGGAGGAGGAATACGTGAGTTTGGGGCCCAGTAGACTATAGTCTAGAGGCACCCTGGTCCCAGGCAGCCTGTGTGCTTCCCAAGGCAGGCCAGGCGCAGGAATGACAGGTGGGCAGAGGCTGTCACACCTTAACAGGGTATATTGAGAGCAGCCTCGGAGCTGACAGCCTGGTCTCCACACCCTGTGCCCTGCAGCTGGCCGACGTCGTGGACAGTGAAGTGCTTCAGGTTTACGCAAAGCCTCCAGCGCACGAGGAGTCCAAGGCACCATCCAGAGGTTTTGTGGTGCGAGATGCTCCTTGGACTGCAAACAGCAGTGAGAAGGTCAGGCAGTGGGGTGGGAATGGCAGGATGGCAGCTGCCCAGGAGCCATGGGGGGCAGGGCAGTGACCACTGACATCGTACCCTCTCCCCGCGCAGGCTCCAGACATGAGCAGCTCTGAGGAATTTCCCAGCTTTGGGGCTCAGGTGGCCCCTAAGACCCTCCCTTGGGGCCCCAAACGATAATGATCAAAAAGCAGAACCTCTCCAGCCTGCTGACCTGAACCCAACAGCACGGTGGTGTGCCTCATCCAATCCAGCGGCTGGACGCTCCGTAAATTGTTGGCACTCTCCCCTTCCCGAGGTCTCACAGTGAAGCCTGGTATGGCCGGCTGTGTGCGGCCACTTATCAGGGCCTGGTCAGTGCCCGCTTGGGATCTGCTCCCTGTCGTGGGGCCTCCACCGTTTTAACACTAAGCAAAAGTAATCGAGCATTTCGTAATAACACAGACTCCAGCTTCCTGGTCCACCCAGCATGTCAGCACGCTGACCTTCACCACGAGAGCTCTGCAGTGTGGCTAGGAGTCGACTTCCTGTGTCATGACCTCAGGAAATAAATTTCCTTGACTTTATAAAAGCCAAAACGTTTCCCTCTTCCTTTCCCACCTCCCTCCTGCCTGTTGTCCAGACCTTCCTTTCCTTAGAGCGTGGTCAGCCCTGCCAGCTGCCGTGCCCATGCAGCAGACAACAGGGTGGGAAAAGGGCCTGGGTCTGGACGCAGGCAGGCCAGTGTCCTGGGGCTGGAGGTTAATGACTCATTTCCTCAGGTGGTCCTGACTCTACCTGTTTGAGGGGTCTGAAAGCACTACATGTCCTTCAGCCCCACTGCATTACACACAGCCCAGGACTGGTTATCGCAGCCTGGGGTGAGGTCATACAGGGTGTGCATGCCACCTGGGTCCCCTATGGATGTCAACGTGTCTTGTCACTTAAGACCAGCAGGAGGTGGGAGACCGACTTTCTCCTCAGGCAGTTGCCTTTGGGTGATAGCTTAGCTTGTTTGCACCACCTGTGGGCCCTGGTGCCTGTCCCAGACCCCACCTGTCCACTGCTCTCTTTCTACCTCAGCCAGTGCGGTGGTGGTCTCGGGTGTGATTAGTGCCACCCCCACACTTGTCTCTCACTTTAGTTTCTGGTGGTTGTGGGTTTGCTGTGGAGCCATATGCCCAAGCTCCACTTCGTCAGCCACAGGTGGGTCTGTGGGGTGACCCAGAGTGCGAGTGCAGGTTCCTGCCCCAGGGGACAGGTCAGGCTGTCGGCCTCGAGAGCTGGGTTGCATCGTCTTGGGATAGAGTTTGGACCAAGAGGGGAGGCACTGTGAGGCCTGAACAGCCAGGTGCTGAGAGTCCCTGCTAGGTTCAGGAGACTCTGCTCCCGCTCAGGGACATGGCAGGACATCCTGACTGCCAGTCTTAGTGGGTGAGGTGTCTCCCCGCCGCCCGGCATGGCTAAACAGGAAAGGATGGTGTCATAAGTCTCTGAGTCATCTGGTCTTCCCAGCCCTACCTCTGTCCCCCACAGAGGTGACCGGGCCTCTAGTGAATTCCTTGCCTGGGTACTTGAGTTCCTAGGAAGCTGACTTGCCCTTCTCAACAGCCCTCCCCTGGAGGCAGTCACTCTGTCTTGACACCTGCCCCAGAGTTTGCCACTCTATCCAATCACTCAAGTTCAGCCATCTTCAGCCTCTGGGGCTCTGGCACAGATCCAGGATTGCTCAGCCCACGTCTGAATCTACTTTTAGATGAGTCCCCATCTGCTCAAGTGGTGAGGGTAGAAGAGGAAGCAAGGATGAGAGTGTTTCTTTCAGCTCTCTGGGCTCAGTGTCTCTGGATTAGACGGAGCTGACAGACATGGGAAGAAAGTGCTTTTTTGCCTTTCTGTCCCTGGGGAGCTCTGGAGGAGAGGACCCCATTCCCTCCGTCCTGTTCCTCTACCTCCCACTAGTGTCCATTTGGCACCTTCCTCTGTCTTTTCCACAGTGTCCTCCAGAAACATCAGGTCCCTGCCTCCCTACTCTGAAAAAGGCAGATTTTAAATTCTCAACGTATTTTTGCACATGTCCGTGTAATGCTGAATATCTTAGGTGTATCCTTTCCCTCTGTTCAGGGGTTTTTTTGGTTTGTTTTTTTTTGGGGGGGGGTTTAAAAAACGTTATGAAATGACTGTACCCAGGCCCCTCTTCCCTAAAGCCCCTTGATGCTGTTGGGAGAGCCTTGGGCAGAGTGAGTGTGTCCCTCCTTCTTGTAGAATGTCTTCCGTAGCGAATGTTTCCACAGCTACAATCCATCCCTTGGCCTTAACTTTGAAATTTGGAGATTATATGCAAACATGTGTAAAGGCTCATGAATACGGATGACACTGGAATTTTATAAATTCTGAAATAAAACCCCAAACTAGATACAGTGTGGTGTGCTGAGACTCGTTTTATCCCCCGTGTGTTTGCATTTCCTTTGACTCTGGTGAAACTGGACAACCGTAGGTGGCCTCATCTTTGGCTTGACTCCCCAGCAGCCCCAATGCTGTGTCCTCTGGGGTCTTGTCAGCCATGAGCAGAGTGTCCCCGCTGGGGCTGGCTTCCTGTTCTCTGGCTACTCTGCAGCTGACAATTCCTGCTGTTGAGGGCAGACACCTCTCCTCAGAGCAGCACAGCTGTTCCTGTCTGTCCTCTCTGTCCAATCCAGCTCTGGTCCCTGGGGAAGATTAGAGGTACAGGGGTAGGTCCTGGCTCTGGACACTGCAGTCAGCCCCAGGGCAGGGTGTGCTAAGAGGTGGGTGGAGCAAGGGGCCTAGCGCTTCTGCTGCTGAGAGGCCAAAGGTGGGTTTGCAGTTCCACTTCTAAATATTCCTTCGCAGAAAGCTACACACTTGCGAAATGACCCCCAGCATGGAAGGAAAGAGCCCATAGGATCACAGAACAGATGGTGTACTGCTCAATGCCCTTTGTCTTTGTGGAGCTCGAGGCTGTGATGTGTTTTAAGTCAGACAGATTCCCGGGCTCCACCCCTGGCTTAGTGACCAGGGTAGTGGCTACTCTGGGGGAGGGGCACACAAGCCTCAGCACCGTGGTCTGACCCAAGTGCTGGTCACAACATTGTATTCACCCAGAAGCTTCTCAGAGCACAATCTGAGCATCCTCTTGTTTGTTTTTTTTTTGAGACAGAGTCTTACTTGGTCACCCTTGGTAGAGTGCCTTGAGTCTTAGCTCACAGCAACCTCAAAATCTTGGGTTCAATCAATTCTCTTTGCCTCAGCCTCCCAAGTAGCTGGGGACTACAGGTGTCCACCACAACTCCGGGCTTTTTTTAGACACAGGGTCTCACTCTGGCTCAGGCTGGTCTCAAACCTGTGAGCTCAGGCAATCCCAAGTACTGGGATTACAGGCATCAGCCACCTCTCCCAGCCTAAGTCCTCTTGTGTTTCAATAAGTTTATCTTAAAATCTTATAAGAAATAACAATAAAAATAACTGAAAGGAAATACACATGGATTTTGTAATAAAGGCTTTGTCAAGTGAAATCATGTGCTGAGTGGCTGAAGCTCTCCACGCTAAGTCCCCAGGGTTCACCGTGTCTAGTGGGGGTGTGTGGTCAGCTGAGGCACCAGCTGTGTCTAGCCCCAGCTCCCAGTGTCTCCCTGGCCCTGTGAGGAGAGCCCTTAACAAGGGCAGAGAATGATCCTAGTACAAGGCAGGTGAGTGTGCAAAGATCCAGAACTGGGGAACATAGGCACTGTGCCCGGCATCAACGATGTGGTTTTTGGGAGGCCTGTTCTGGGGACAAGTTGGTAGCATCTTAAAAAGTATATCAAGGTAGTCCAGTGGTTAGGGTGCTGGCCACATGCTCAGGGTTCGAACCCAGACCAGGCCTGCTAAACAAAAACAAAAATTAGCCAGGCATTTTTTTTTATTATTGTTTAGCAGGTGGGCACCTATAGCCCCAACTACTAGGGAGGCTGAAGCAAGAGAATCACTTGAGCCCAAGAGTTTGATGTTGCTGTGATGTGATGACACTCTACCAAGGGTGACAAAGTGAGACTCTGTCTCAATT